AGTACAAGGATGAGTCAACTTGTTATAATGATATTCAAGCAAATTCTTTTCATTATCGTATCAAAACTCCCTCCACAAATATTCCAATGCAATCCATGCCTTGGAGAGTAACAGTATAAGACTGTGTGTTCCATTAGGTGTTATGGATATATTGTAAATAGATAGGTTTCAAGTGCATTCTTATAAGTGAAATTCTAGAAACACTAGTATAAAGTAGCTAATGTTAAACCAATGCAGATTGATTTTGTAGATACATTTTCACCAATTTCCCCAAAAATTTTTAGTAATGAACATTGAAATTCACCGAGATTATAGATTGATTGATAATAAAAACAAGTTTGCTGAGAAAAAGTACAATGAGTTATCGTGGGCACAAGACTGTTAGCAGACAACGGTGATGATGCTAAACAGACATGGTAATCTCTATACTTCACCTTTCATTTCATCACAGGCAAAGTAAATCACAAATGCTTGAATAATGCACTATAACATACCTGAATTATAATTCCATAAATTATACATTTGTATACAACTACAAAAGCCAAATATTTGTCACAGTAAACACTTAACTGTGATGTCACTTTTTATTCATAATAAACCAGTGTGATATCATAAAAGCCGGCTGTTTCCATATCTTTCTCTGCTATAGATGATATTTTCTGATTGATGTGTTTTACAAATCGTAGTGTCTCTTTATCTCTGTACACCAATGCCAAAGAATTGTCAGCTGGATTTACTGAAAGAAGCTGAAAATAAACGAAGGAGGCTTAGAAAGAACTCCTGTGTGTTGACAGTATTGGAGGCATGAAGCACAAATAAAGAATACTGTATTAGGAGCACATCTTTCAATACACATTGAACAAAAATTGTGTTTATTGCATGCAAAATCATTGAAATATTTTTTGAAATATTTTGACTATAGACTTGTTTTTGTCATTTAAATTTACAATAAGCACATGTGGAACAGACACACACACAGACATATAAACACATTGTACATCAATGGTTTAATATGGTCTGCGTATCCTAAACCACCTTTATTCCAAACATTTAAATCTATTAAATGTATGTGGTTCTTGAGATATCAGAAAGTTACCTAATTTATGCTAATTAATTAAGTTTTATTGAACATGATGTTCAATTGTTGAACCATTGGCTAACTAATCTGATCATAACTAATCATAACTAAT